CCCCCCCCCCCCCCCCCCCTCCTCGCTATGGGTCATGCCTACGCAAAACCTTACCGAGGCAGTGACGGGACGAAGGGGGGAAGGGAGCATGCATACTTTGTGAGGGTTGGAGGAGGTGTCTCTCCTGGTGCCGTCTACCTGTTCTGCAAGTTTGGTGCGACAGCTCGAAGTGTTTCTTGAGAACACGTTCGTTGTTGTGTGTCATGTTCGTAGATCTTCCCCGTTCGATTGATTTACTGAACAACCAATCCTGCCTCTTTCTACTTCAGAATCCCCACAGGTCGTCAACAACGACGCACCCCACACAACGCGAAGTGCAACAGCAGACAATCCACAGCGAAAAGCCGACCAGTACGTGTCGGAGGGTCTCAACGCGCGACTTCCTGTACAAATCAAATACAATCCTAACCAAGTGCGATCGGTCACCGAAATCGAACCCGAGGAACCGGCTCCCGTCGTCCATGACATCTCCGATAGCGACACAGACAGAAATGGAAGAACCGGCTCCGCACCCGATGCGGAGGTGGCCCAGGCTGACCGCCGCCGCCGCCGCCGCCGCCGCATCAGCAACGGCAGCTCGGCCGGTACTCCCACCCGGTCGCGGTGTGAGGAAGCTGAGCGACCGCGTCTCGCCGGCCATGCCGTGCAGGCTGGCCGCGCGTCGCCTTCTCAGCCATAACGCTGAATACGTGTGTGTTCTGTTGTGGCTTGCGTGCCCTAGATTTTAATGTCTTGTGTGTACATATAATGCAACAGTTATTTCTTGAAAAGAGGGAGACCATCTGGCGCGACCAGCGGTGTGCGGTGCGGAAGTCTCCTGTTGATGTTAAGGTGTGCCAACGTTTTCATGAGCGACAAAAGGAAGTAAACGGTGAGGGTTCGTGTGTAGCGCGTGTCTTAGAGTGTTTGATTGAGTCCATCCATGGCGTGTCGCGCGAGGATCTGTTTGCGGGGATAGAGGATGTGGCGAGCCAGCTTTGGAATAACCTAAAAGGATCAAACGATACTCGATTTTACGTTGCTCTCAGCGGCGACAGCCGCGATGTTTCCTTTTCCAAATCCACCATTTTTGTCTCTGTCATGAAGATGGCGACAAATACACATCTCGCAGACTCGTTCCGCAGCTTCCTGTGCAGCACGTATTTTCGGGCAAGCTGCTGATGTTGTCCGCCATTTTGTGATGAAACCAGATCGGATAAGCATCCATCTTGTTTTTCAAATACGTAGACATGCCCATCTCCTTCAACCTTTCAGAACCGACAAAAAGTTTTGAGTAGGTGTAAACCGTTTCCTTGTAAATCAGCCGCACGCTTGTCTTTTCCAACTCCGCCATCGCCGCAGTACCAACATACGGGCAGACAAAAATGACGTTGTCCTGCTTGAATTGCCACCACAGTTTTGCGAAGTATCGATTGTATATGTGGGTCCATGCACAAAAACGTCTCAAGGTCGCGGGTGTGTGCCACGCGCTTGGGAGTCGTGGCAATGTCTGCCATCGGTGGAATGTAGCGATCGGTGACTGCCTTGTACATCGAGCGGGCTTCGCGAGCGGCCTTCTCTAGCAGATCATCCATCTTATTATACTAGACATTTTGTATACGAGTTTCGGCTGAAGTATCGCTCCAGCATCAAGTGGTGCCACGTATCAAGCTAAGATGTTCAAATAAGCGTACGTTTCTCCCCACTCCAGCTACTTAGCCGACTTAGCCTGTCGTTGAGGCTAACGGCGATTGTGTCCATCCACTTGTTTCTCCTCCTCTCATACAACTTCCTAAACTTGGGAACGGAGCTTTTCTTATAGTCAAGAGGACAGTTGGCGTACCCATCAAAATGATTAATGTAATATGCCGGTATGTCGTCCCTGAACAAATTGACAGCTTGTTGGGTCTTCTCCACAAGGAGAAGCAGGAGCTCATCATAAGCCTCTTCCTTTGACACGGTGATCCACCCATATCACAACGCACCCGGACATACTTGTAATTCTTCCGTGCACGGTAATTTATGTTTTGCTCAAGGGCGCACAGTTTTAACCCGAAATTCAAAAACACATTGATATTGAGCATTTGTTTCAGCAGATCCACGACGAACTCTCTCGTGATGCGTTGCAGAGACTCCTTGCCCAGGGGGTGCACGAATATAGCCTTCGTGTCGGCGTCGACGATAATGTGTTTGCTTGCGCGCAACGGTCTTGATCGCCACTCCTCTTGTAGCTCACCCTCCACAGTAGAATACGGTGAGATGCCAACGCAGTCTACGTGCGCCTTCTCCAGTAGTCCCGAAAGAGTGAGCGCTGACATGTTCTCCTTGTTTTGCAAGTAGAACCACACTTTAGCTTCATGATACCATATCCCTAGGTAAATGAGACCCGGATATCTTCCGCGGACATGATGTAAGACAGTGCATAAGTCAACACATGACGGGTTGGCCTGTGCCACGAGCTTTCTGTTGCGCAACGCCATTTTATACTATGACCACGAAATGTTCTAGGGAATTTGGGCGCAGTGTTTCTCAAGAGAAGCGTTTGCCACATTGAAACACCGGGGCAACTTTTCAACGGATCCATGTGACGAACCAAGCATGCCATTCAGTTCCGAAGCAGTTCCGATTTAATCTTTTGTACAGAAAAGAGGTAGCGTGGCATGCCATTCAAGGTGATGTTTATCACTCCAGAGTAGGGTATACACATGGGAGGCAAACGCTTCAATCTTCGAACACTCCCTTAACGGGCGAGGTAGGGCACGCGTCTTCGTGTACAAAATGACAAAAGTAGCGAGCTGTTCGCCACCGACCCGAGGAACTCGCCTCTTCCAAAAATAGATCTCGCCAAAATATTAGGTCCAGCCAGAGATGGAAATGAGAAATTCAATATTATTTGAAAATCGAAAATATTAAATTATGCCATCTCTGGTCCGATATTTGGCTACTTGACGTATGTCTGGTGTGCTAGATCACACCCTGATACATCTTTCAGTACAAGACAGAAAAAGACGTACCCGATGAATGGACAATTACAGATACGGGTGGCAAAGTCTCTGCAACACGAACCCCCGATAAGGATAAGGCAGATTGGTTCTTTCTCCAACATTTTTGTACAAGCGGCGAGCTGTATCTACAACGTAGAAGTGCTTCGCACTGAACCCGTTCTGTTTTTCCGTTTTGAACCGAAAAGAGGTACCGTGGCATGCTATTCAAGGTGGTCTTTATCACTCTAGAGTAGGGTAAATATATGGGAGGCAAACGCTTCAATCTTCGAACACTCCCTTAACGAGCGAGGTACGGCACGCTTCTTCGTGTACAAAATGACAAAAGCAGCGAGCTGTTCGCCACCGACCCGGCGAACTCGCCTCTTCCAAAAATAGATCTCGCCAAAATATTAGGTCCAGCCAGAGATGGAAATGATAATTTCAACATTGTTTAAGAATCGAAATTATTAAATGATGCCATCTCTGGTCCGATATTTGGCTACTTGCCATATGTCTGGTGTGCTAGATCACACCCTGATACACCTTTCAGTACAAGACAGAAAAAGACGTACCCGATGTATGGACAACTACAGATACGGGTGGCAAAGTCTCTGCAACACGAACCCCTGATAAGGATCAGGCAGCATTGTTCTTTGTCTCCCGTTTTTGTGAAGAGCGTAAAACTGTGTCTGCAACGCATAAGTGCTTCGCACTGAACCCGTTACTGCTTTTCCGTTTTGAACAGAAAAGCGGTACCGTGGCATGCTATTCAAGGTGGTCTTTATCACTACAGAGTGAGGAATGTATATCGGAAGCAAACGCTTCAATCTTCGTTTACTCCCTCAACGGGCAAGCCATGGTGGTGTTGAAGCACTTCTGCGTTGCAGACACAGTTTTACGCTCTTCACAAAAACGTGAGGCAAAGAACAATGCTGCCTTATCCTTTTCAGGGGTTCGTGTTGCAGAGACTTTACCACCCGTATCTGTAATGGCTGGTCGGTTCACCTCCTTGGTGATGGTAAACAGAGTGTATTATTGTACACGAGTCTCTACCTCCCCATCTATCTCTATCTCCTGCCAACATCCCAACCAGGCTGATTGAAGCCCCAATCTACCATATCTTAGACATGCAGATATTCAAAGGCATCGTCCCATCATGAACCACTACTAGCCAGGTACGTAGCGTCCACAATATCCCCATACTACCGGAGTACACAATCGTCATCTTGATCACAAAAAGTACGAACCTGGTAATACGAAACTAAACGACAGCGGTGTTTGTGAATTACAGACACCCATACACGGCGATAGCATGCCAGACGAATGTCATATCACTTCATCAGTCAGCGCAAGTGCTCAACCTCTCATGCAAAACATAGAACGCCCCCAATCAGCTGCGAAAGGCACGCAAAGCAACAATGACAACAACACGCAAGTGATGGACGACCACACGAGACTCGCCCGCAAATAGTAGACCTACGCGGTGGATCGACGACGAACACACCGCAAAAAGCGTGCAATGAAAAGATTTGACATACGCAGAGAATGAGGAAAAAAAAGCTGCAAACCGCGAAGCAACGTTGAACACCGTTACAAGCCGCTTCCAGGGTTGAGTTGAAAACCTCGAAACACAAACATACTCGGTGCAACGAACGGCATGATCGCCAAACAAGCCGACATCACAGAATTCCAAGCGTACGCAGCTCGTGAAAAAAGGCCATCAACACAATTTCAAGAGGTGGGCTCCACGCAATGCAATCAATCGAATACAACCATCGCACTAGTCAAGACATCCCCAGCGTCGTCAGCAGTGGTTTACCTACGACATGCAAATTCAAACATGCCATAACCAAATCAATGCGCGACATGTTGAGAGAGTACACATATGCAGCCAGCGAAGAAATGCTATCAATACTCGACAAGATAGCCTTCACTCGACCAAAACAATTAAAGCACAAATGCGAAAGAAGTCAGCGAAGGAATGCCATCAATACGCAGACAAGACGACCCTTGCTCAACTTAAACGATCGCCGCCATCTCGAACTCCTCCTGCGTGAAAGCATGCTTAAAAACATCCTTCGACCCCGCCGTGATCTCGAGAGAGGCATCGGCGTAGAACCGCAAGCGCGCGACGTGGACATCTCGATCTTCACCCCACACAATGTTCTGGACTCCGCACACATGCGGTCTTACTGCAGCGACAATCCTCCAGGGCCCCGTCCAAGTCATGAGAAGCTTCGGCGTCGAACCACGCCAGCGAACTTAGTCCCCTACCGCCACCAAGTGATTTTTTAAATGGGAAGCGGTTTCACTCACCCAGACCTCTGGAACGCCCAACACGTTACACCACGTGAGGAGATGATGCGCAGTCAAGCGGGCGGTGCATGCCCCCGTGAGCTCCAGCCGAACCCAGTTGGACATATCGTCCATCATGACCAAAATGTACTTGAACACATCCTCCTCGTCCGAGCCATCTTCCCCCAGCGTGCCACTCGCCCCGGTGATCTAGTGGTATCTTCGTAATCCGCTAGTCGCAGAGGTCGTGGGTTCGAATCCCCATGGGGTAAAAAATTTACGAAATCTGCGGGTGAAAGCGAAATATGGCTAAAAAGCTCTCGTGAGTACGACGTTAGCACCGTTGACGAGGGAAAGGGACGGCTGGACCCTTCTCGCGATAAAAACAAAATTCAGCAAGCACCGCAGGAGGAAAGCGGGGCATGAAAAGAAATAAAAAGAAGAAAAGAGCCCTGGTGTTTACCCCCTCGTGTGTGACCCTGGATGGTTGTAGTTGTACGAAAAAATACAATGAAAAGTGTAGTACTCTACATACATACGCTGGTGTTTACCCCCTCGTGTGTGACCCTGGATGGTTGTAGTTGTACGAAAAAATACAATGAAAAGTGTAGTACTCTACATACATACGCTGGTGTTTACCCCCTCGTGTGTGACCCTGGATGGTTGTAGTTGTACGAAAAAATACAATGAAAAGTGTAGTACTCTACATACATACGCTGGTGTTTACCCCCTCGTGTGTGACCCTGGATGGTTGTAGTTGTACGAAAAAATACAATGAAAAGTGTAGTACTCTACATACATACGCTGGTGTTTACCCCCTCGTGTGTGACCCTGGATGGTTGTAGTTGTACGAAAAAATACAATGAAAAGTGTAGTACACGTCTCACCACGACAAATGGGGGGACTGTCGCCATAACAAAAAGGACGAAAACACACAACACACAACACACGCTCCCACGTAAAGGTAGTCAAAACGAACAACTTCGCCAGGACGCGTGCCGTGGACGGTGTCCCCAAGCGGGCGAGGCACCTTTTCCCCCGCCTTGGAGTCCATACAATGAAGGCACTGCTTGACGGAGGCGGTGACGTGCTCTTACATGCGAAACCAGCAACAGTACTCAGACAACCGCTACAAGGTGGCAACGGCGCCACGATGCCCAGCTTCTTTCTTATGGGCACAGACCATCAGTCGCACCTGCAAAGCACCCGCTTGATCTGGAATCCAAAGCACGTCACGTCCATTCATGTTCACGCGAAACAACCCTTCACCATCTAGGGCCAGTGTCCCCACCGCCGTCGAAAACGACATGGCAGGCCCGGCAAGCGCGCCAAGCGTACTCGGCGCCGCTTGTTGTGCATCACGTACAACTTGCTTCGACAGCATGCCGGCATCAGGTTCGCTGAGGGCGTTAAACGCGGCAGCACGAACACTCACCGACGGCAGAGAGACCCACCTTGACAGAAGGTCCCCCCAACAATTACGCTCGCTCGAAATGTGCCGGATGGTTTAATTGTACTGGCCTAAGACAGCTTTCCACCGGTCGAGAACTGAGCTGCTGTTTTCGCTACGGCGGACACGCAAGCCTCCGCTTCGAAGATGTACGCGATATTACGGTGATCGGTAAAGATTGCACGCCATCCCAAAGCAAGAACTCCAACCGCTTGAACGTACTCACCACCGCGTACCCGTCCTCATCCACTGTGGCCCAACGCTGCTGCGCGCCCTTGAATGTGCCGTTTAGAAAATCCCATCGGCCCATGAGCCACATCCTCCACCGGGACGTTACTGTCTAGCTGCTCTTAGGGCACTTGGTTGCGAAACCCCCCCAATGCTCATCGGATGCATCGGGGAGCATCAACACACCGCAACCCGGGCGGGCTTGAGACAAGGCAACAGCACGGGCAACGAGGTTTAGCACGACTTCCAACGCTGCGATTAGCGCGGGCGTCCACGCATCCGCAGCGATCGCGCGATTGTAGGCCACGCGCTTCGTCCGGCTCTTGGCACCCACCAAGTGATGCTCCAGAAACACGCGAAGCGGCCACACAATCTCCACCATCCGCGGTAGAGATGTACGCAGTCAGTTGACCGCCTGTAGGAACTCCATCAGCTCACCAGCCGTCTCAGGACGCCACATTGTAGCCAGATAGCTTAGCCGCTCGGGATCATGTTCGACCTTGCCCTGGGAGTACATCTCCCGCACCATGTTATCTGGTCTCAAAAAAACGTGCACTTGTGGGCGGCCACGTAAAGGCAGCCCCCTCCAGGCGTTCAAGAATCACGTCGAGGGTGTCAAGCAAGTCGTCTTTCGTCCATGCCCCAATATACGACATCGTCTACCCAGACGAAGCAATTCAGCCCCTCTTGGATGCGTGACAAGGTGGCCGGGAGATACGACGTAGCGTTCTAGATATCTTGCCGCACCCGCTTGGGCGTGTAGAGGCCATCCAGCATGGCAATCTCATCGACATTGTTGCTGTTGTTGTTTGTTGTTTTCTTCACATTAAACTCGTGTCAGTTGCTAATCCCAACATCTAGCGAAAACTCGGTCCGTGGTCACAAAAATGCTAGAGACATCAGAAGATCTAAAGAACACACACACTAGACTAGCAAGCAAAGGGTACACAAGCCCGAGGAGGTACACCTACAATCCCTGCAGCACGTTTGCGTGCTCACAACTGAACTACACGCCCACACACTACAATTCGACTGCAGCAGCAGCATAAACCCCCTTGTCCCGCATTTAACCAAAATGAATGTTTGTCGACTACAGCGTACTGCTGTCTGAAGTGCTGTCTGTACAATAATAACACCATGGTGTATGCATGGTACATAAACTCGGGGCATGCAGCTGCTGTCTGAAGAGCTGTCAGAATGAGTCCGTGGATATACAATGAAGAAGAACGCCCAACCAAAGCCATCATTGAAATTTACAATCACCCGAATCTATCCAGATCATCTGTGTTAGGCACAGCAGTGTAAACATCGACACTGACGAGGAATCGTTCCACACATTGAAGGGGTCTTCCACGATGCAGGTACACAATGAAGGTACCCGGGTCATCCGCGCCATCTCTGCCGCGTCTCTCTACAAAACCAGTGACGTCATCACACACACACCCAACACCTGTATTCAGGAAAATAACGGAAAATAATGGACAATACAAGAGATGTTTGTCTGTGCCCCACGGTTCAATGCCGTCCGCATGCTCCGGTGCCGCTGCTCCGGTGCCGCTGTGGTTAGTCCTAGCACGACCAAACTCGACTCTCTCCGCTTCGTACACGCTCTCGTTGCTGTCCTTTCCAGTCGGTTCCTCGCTTTCTCCCGGGTCGCAATTAGGGTTCTTGGTGTGAAAATTCTCGCGCCGAAGGGTCAACCAGCCCAATCAGCTCGTCACCACCTGTCCCTTCCTCCTTTGATGGCAAAACCAGGTTACTGAGACAGCTCCCTCTAGCAAACCTAGGGCCGTGTACATAGTGCCCGTCCACCTTTCTGATGACGTCTGCCTCCGCGCACAAAGATGAGATGGGCATTGCTGCCTACACCGACGGCCTGGACACCCGCGCATCTGCACCTTTGTACCTGACGCACCAGTGCCGACCCAACTGCACCACTACGCACGCCTCGCGGCGGGAGCACCGCAGCAAGAAGGTATCGGTCCCTTGAGGGTGAGTCTAGCCCTGCTCGCTAAAAAGACCCCCCCCTTGCTATGAGTCATGCCTACGCAAAACCTTCCCGAGGTAGAGAGGGGAAGAAAGAAGAGTTTGTGGAAGTTGGTAGGGGATGCCCCCCCGGAGCCACCGCCCCCTCCTGAAGAAGGCTGCTGCGCCGGCTGTTGACCGTGAGGGCACTGTTGCTGCTGCACGTGTCCCTGGGCGCGGTGCGGTTGTTGCTGCTGCTGTGGCTGCTGTGGCTGTGGTTGCTGCTGCTGGAATTCACGGGCCTCCCCGGTGCAGCGAATGCCCCCCACGCGCCCGGTGTTTGCCATCGGGGTTGGGTTTTCGTCGCTTGGCAACGACGTTGTAAAACAAGCCG